TAATAATCCCAAACATTTCTAAAACTCTGTACATAAGAATGACAAGTGTGCCGTGTCTCTCAGAAATACTGATGGTGGTGATATTCCTAGCAGTGATTGTGCAAGCGTCTTCAACGAAATGTTTGTGTTTGCGTTTTCTTCCTTTCAGATTTCTTGTATTCCTGAATTTTCTACCAATGCATATTTTCTAATAGATCCAATTTGTATGGACACTATAGGCATAAGCAATGTGATACATACTTTCAAAATATCGTCGTCTGCTGGTATTGACAACATCAATTTTAATTTTTTGAAAAAATACGAAAATGTACAGTGAAATTATTTTATCCAAACGTTTTGAGCAGTCTTTGGAGCTTGGTTTTATCCCCGCCGATTGGAAGATTGGGAGAATGATTCCTTTGCATAAATCAGGTGACAAACATTCTCCAACTAACTATCGTCCCATCTCAATTACTAGCAGACATTGTAAAATTCTTGAACATATCATTTACTCTCACCTTGCTAATTTTTTAGAGTCTTATATATATATATATATATCTGTAATGCTCAACATGGCTTCCGGAAATCATTTTCTTGTTAGACTCAGCTCCTGTGTTTTACTCATGACCTTTATTCCATTCTTGAACGCGGCTCCCAGCTAAACTGTATTTTCCTAGATTTTTAAAGCCTTCGAAAAGGTCCCTCACTCCCCCCTTATTCAAAAGCTTATCAAACTTAATTTAGACCCTAACGCCGTTGCATGGCTACGTTCGTTTCTTACTAATCGATCGCAGTTTGCAACTGTCAATGACGTGGATTCTTTACCTTCACCAGTCGCTTCAGGTGTTCTCCAGGGCTCTGTTCTGGGGCCCCTCTTATTTCTCATCTACATTAACGACCTACCTAACAAGGTATGTTCATCTGCCAGCCTCTTTGCAGATGACTGCGTTATTTATCATGAAATTACTAATGACTCTTACATATCTCTCCTTCAGTCTGATGCTAACTCTATCTCTGCAATTAAATACCGCTAAATGTATATACATGCGTGTATCTTGTCTTAACACAACACGTCCTGTTTACTCCATTGATAACGTTCCTCTTGAGTATGTTCCATCCTACAAGTATCTGGGAGTGCACATTACTTGTGATTTAACCTGGAAAGCTCATATTGATCATATCGTTAACAATGCTAATCGCATGTTTGGTTACCTTAAAAGAAACCTTTTCTCGCGCCTACGTCATTGAAATTTATTGTTTACAAAACCCTTGTTCGAAGTAAGCTTGAATATGCTGCGTCTATCTGGGACCCCGGTCTTGAATTGCTCATTTCTGAATTAGAATGCGTCCAAACTCGTGCTTCCCGCTTTATTCTTACTAATTACCATCGTACCGCCAGCGTAACCCTAATAAAAACTAGCTTATCCTTGCCTAATCTTTCTATGTGCAGAAGAGTGTCTCGCTTGCGTTTGTTCCACAAAATATATCATCATAATTCACCTCTCAAGCAAAGGCTTGACAACCCCATTATCTTTCAGCACGGAACGATCATAGATTCAAAGTTGGCATGAGGAAGAAGAAGAAGTCGGATTTACCTTGGCTGCTATCGAGGTTGTCTTGCTATATTGTATCTTTATTCAAGATTTTCGCTGCTAATTCAAGGTAAAAACGATACGATCCTCGCTATTGACGCAACGGTCACCGACCATGGCTGAGGCGGGTCATTCCGCCGGCCAGGGCTCACCGTCGATCGAAATGGAACTGGATGGACAGGCTGAGCGGCCATCATTGGGTATGTCCAGCGCTTCAAGCACCGTCTCTTACTATGAGAGCATCTCTGACGAGCTGGACGCCAACTCGGCACCCTTTCAGCTCGTTCAGAACCGAAAGAAACGCAAAGCCTCAACTAGTTCGGAGTCAAGCGACAAGACCGTCAAGACTATGAATCGTACTGATCCCCACCTCACGGTAATAGTCAAACCCAAGGATCCAGACAAAGTGATCGCAACTATTAACCCCAAGAAAATTCAAGAAAAACTGGACATGACTGCTCCAGACGGGGTGATCCTGGTTAGGCCAAACCGACGACTCAACGTACTGGCAATTGACACCAGAAATAGAGACGCTACGAAAGCGCTCCTTGGACTCACCACACTAGACGGGATCGCTGTCCTGGCCTACGAACCGCTCCCACGGGAATCGGCGGCCGGGGTGATCTACGAAGTACCAGCAGACCTCACCGAGGTCGAACTTCAACTGGCAGTTCGCACTACTGCACCTGTTATCTCCATCCGACGACTGGGTAAATCCGAGACCGTCAAACTCGTCTTTAGCACGGACACTCTACCAGAGTACGTTACAATCGGATACACAAGATACAAGACACAACCGTACATCGAGAAACCACGTCAATGCTCCAAATGTAACCGTTTCGGGCACGTTCGAACCGCCTGTACAAGGGAATCGCGATGCGCTCGCTGCGGGGGACCCCATGATCGCACCAAGTGCGAAGCGGAAGACCCACTCTGCATGAACTGCCACAAAGCACACGACTCTACATCTCGTTTGTGCCCGGAATACAAAAGAGAGCAGAAAATATACAGGTACAAGAGCGAAGCTAAATTTGGTTACAGCTCAGCAAAAGAGGCTCTACGGTCTACACAAGATCAGATGTCCACTGGCCATGCCAGGACAGCAGTCAACCAAGCAAGACACGACGTCGCAGCTCACGATTTTCGTGCTCAACGAGATTCCCCGTCAACACAGCAATCCAGCGTGAGAAAAGGCAAGACCTATACAAAATCCACAGAAGCTACAGCTCCTACTTTGCAGCTAAAGGATGACAAAGAATTTCCAGCACTCCCTGGATCTGCATCCACTTCGCGTGTCGAAGATAAGGAAAATAGGCAGTCCGGGAGGGACCAGCCAAGGGCATCAACCAGGGAGCAACCACCTATTTCCGGGGTCAATCTTCAAACCATCACCAACGTTGTCCGTAATATTCTCCGTTCATGGGACTCTCCTATAGCCCAAGCACTGTTAACCATACTAGATGCCATACTTCCGCTTGTTATGATCTGGTGTCATTAGACAAGCTTCGTAGAGATGCCACCGTCCTTCAGTGGAATGCGAGAGGCCTTCGAAATCGGCTCTCGGACTTTAGACAATTCATATTCAAATATCCTGTTCCTATTATCGCAATATCAGAGTCGCGAGTGACGCACAGCATCAGACTATCAGGGTACGAGCTTTTTCATTCCCACAGAACAACTGGTCTTAGCCGAGTTTTGGTCGGCATTCGAAAGGACCTGACATATATTCAACACGACATTCCGTCGCACCCTACAAATGAATATATTGCTGCGACTGTTAAGATAGAGGACATTTCGTTCACAGTTATTGCTAGCTATATACCTCCTCGGGCAGCCTTGGACATTCAGAGGCTGGATACAATTTTACAGCAAACCCCATCACCCCATTTTTTGACAGGAGATTTCAATAGCCACCACTCATTATGGGGAAGCAGAAAAATTAATGCTCGAGGGCAAGCCTTATTAGACGTTACACTAAAATATGACCTTGCAATTCTTAACGACGGAAGTCCGACGTATTTCAGAGGTGCATCTACGAGTAGCTCTCTAGATTTATCGTTCGTATCTTCATGTCTCGCTGAGGGAGCCAAGTGGTTCGCTGATATTGAAACTCATGGTAGTGATCACGTGCCCACTTACACTACGTTTCAAGGATTGCATTGCTTGAAGAGGCGCACCACAATGCATTATACTGACTGGGATATCTTCAAAACAAAACTGGAGTCCGCCTGTACTACACTAACTGAGACAGAAGGATTTGTTGCGGCCATCAACTCTTCAACCTCCGAAGCGACCAAAACTGTCAATATGACAAACCCCCCGACAGCTATTGATGGAGAATACGAACGACTGCGTGCCATCCGCCGGCGGGCTGAACGCAGGGCAAAAAAAACGAAGAGTGCTGAGGATGTCAGGGCTTCTAGGAGAGCACAAAAGCGCGTTCTACGACACTTGGACAAACTTTCCAAAAAACGTTGGAGGTCTCTTAGTGCCGGCCTTGATCCCAGAAAGCCAGTTACTCGCATATGGCCCATGATGCGAAGCTTGCGTGTTAGGCCGCAGCAAATTCGTCCCTTCCGGGCCATCGCTTTGAGCCGCCAAGTCTCAGCAGTAACCATAGCCGAGGAATTCTGTGTCAAGATCACCTCCTGCTCTACTCTTATTGACTGCAGAGCGAATACGACAGATGACCACCCATCCGTAAGTGTATGCAATGCTGTTGAAGCATATTTTACTTTAAAAGAACTTGATATGGCACTCTTTGCATCTAACGTCAAGTCGTCCCCGGGCACGGATGAAATACGATACTCAGCCTTACGTCACCTGGGGGAAGCGGCTAGAACCTTCTTGTTAAAGACCTTTAACTCATCATGGGAAACAGGTATTGTACCGAGGCAATGGAAAATTGCTCGTGTGTTGCCAATCCTCAAACCTGGAAAGTTTCCCCTAGATATTAATTCGTATCGTCCAATTGCATTAACAAGTTGCATAAGCAAAGTAATGGAACGAATGTTGCTAGCCCGTATCGAATGGGATCTAGAAAATAGAGGATTATATCCCTCGTCCATGAATGGATTTCGACGCGGAAGAAGCAGCATCGACAATGTTATTGATTTAGTGACAAGCATTGAACAAACGAAAACTGTCAACAAGATAACAACAGCTGTATTTGTGGACATAAAATCGGCCTTCGATACTGTAGAACACGGGGCCATTCTTCACGATCTGGGGGCCATTGGCTATGGAGGACGCATATATGCGTGGATTGCAAGTTACCTCAAAGAAAGACAAGTGTACATATCGACGCCGGAGGGCAACACTGGTTTTCATGAAATCAAGAGGGGAGTACCGCAAGGGGGGGTCCTTAGCCCCATGCTTTTTAGCATTTCTCTAATAGGCCTTCTTAAAATACTTCCTAAAACCGTTCACGTATCCATACACGCTGATGATATCTGTTTCTGGGCGTGTAGTAGGTCTCTCTACGTAAACAGAGCAAGACTACAGAAAGCAATAAACATCACAGCACGCTACCTCCACGAGCGGGGTCTGCATATATCACCGGACAAATCAGCGGTGATGGCATTTAGCAGAAAACACACGGACAAATACCCAATCGTGATCGATGGAAAACCAATTCCTTACGTCACTGAACACACATTTCTGGGTGTCACTCTCGACGGGCAACTGACATGGAGCCCCCACATAAAGCGCCTAAAGAAAAAGCTGACCGCGTTTACCGATATGATCAGAATGATTAGTGGGACTAAATGGGGATGTTCTGTCTCTGCGCTAATGGCCCTGTACAACGCTCTGTTTCTCGGCCTTATGCGCTACAGTCTTCCTGTTATGCATAATGTATCACGGTCTGTTCTTAAAGAATTAGAACGTGCCCAAGCACAAGCTCTTCGAGCTTGCTTAGGACTGCCGAAATGCACATCGAATGTGGGAACTCTGGCTGAAGCACGAGCAGTTTCGCCCGCCATTTTAAGGACACAAGAAACGTTGCGAGCTCATCTTCGTCACAAAACTCGAATACATAAACATCATCTAGCAGATATCACAACAGAGAGACCATCCTCAGGATTTGCCCAAGTAGTCACGCTTTTGCAGGATTATATTCCCAGATCATTTGAAGCGGCTACAATTCCAAGATATCCGCCGTGGAAGTACCCCCACTTAGAAATCAGAACAAGTATCCCAGGGATCACTTCGAAAACAAAAATGTCTGCGCCAGTGATCACCCAGATTGCTCTTGAATACATCAATAAATCATACAACTCATTCCGCCACATCTACACTGATGGCTCTACAATGACGTCATCATCGGCTCTGGGAGTCTACATTCTTTCTATGAGAACATCCATAAAAGCAAAGCTGAGCCACGTCACCTCATCAACGGCGACAGAGCTCGCGGCAATTCGAGCAGCAGTGACACAGGCGGGAACTGAAAAACCTCAATTTTGGGCAATATTTGTTGACTCGAAGCCCTCTCTCTACATCCTCTCCTCGATGAAAAAAAGTGGCCCATATCTACAACTTGCACAAGATATTTTGGAAGCAGCTCGCCAAGCTTCGTGCCAGGGACACCATTTTATCCTACAGTGGGTTCCTGCCCACTCCGGTATAACCGGAAATATTCTTGCCGACAGAGCTGCTAGAGATGCCCACGAGAGCATTGTTATTGTCTCTATTCCATTCTCGAGACCAGATTCAAATAGCATGATAAGAAACATCGGCCAAGAAATAACATCGTCTCTTTGGGAAAACCCTCAATACCACTACAGACATCTTTACAATATTGATCCTAAGCTACAGTTTCGGGCTCCACGAGGTTTACCAAGACAAACGGAGACCGTGCTACACCGCTTACGGCTAAAAGTTGCGTATACCAACAGCTACCTTCACAAAATCGGAAAAGCTCAGGCTCCTGAATGTGCATCCTGCGGCGGCGTCCATAACATCCAACATGTAGTGTGCGAATGCGAGGAGTACAGCCATGAAAGGCAGTTAATGAAGAAACGGCTCAACATCAAAGAGAAAGAACAAATAAGCATCGACATCGTGTTTGGTCCCTGGATGACATCTTCTGACGGTTATAAGGCCACAGACGCTCTCCTGAAGTTTTTGAAGAATACTCGCTTACAGCATAGGCTCTAGTGTTCTAAAGTGAACTGAAGTGGTAAATGACGCTTGCCATTGAAACACTCACATCTACAATTATCTACATTTTTTTTTTACTTTGTATCACTTTTTTTATATTCTCTTATACTTCCTTTATGTCAATTCTGTTTTCTTACCTTTCTCTACTCCTTTCTATTTTTTCTTTGTTCTTCCGTTCATTACACAGTGTAGCAAACCAGCACAAGGCGCTGGATGACATCACTGTTTTAATAAACGCCTACTTCTCTCTCTCTCAAAGTTGGCATTTCATCCTGCAGGACTAACGCATATCATCATTCCTTTATTCCCAGCACATCTTTGTATTGAAATCAACTTTCCATGGATGTTGCCGAAATCGTGGACAGTAAAAGTTTTAGAAATGCCTTGACTTACATGTATTGCTTCACACTACTATAGTCCTCCTGCCGTTTTGCTGTTGTGTATTTTTGCAATGTGTTTTTTTAAACCCAGTGTAACGCCTTTGGCGCTGAGGGTAAAATAAATAAATAAATAAAAAAATATGACGAGACAATTTTTTCTATGTAGCAAATGTGATACACTCTCACGTCATTTTTGTAGAACTTTTCTGCCAAATATTTTACATAATTTTCCGAAATAGATTTCGTGAATTCTGACCTCCAGATGATGATTGAAAAGCTTTTTATGGAAATTCCAAAACGCAAGAAAATGGATTTTGAATCTGTAATTTGTCTTTAAGTAACGCCTTTGGCGCTGAGGGTAAAATAAATAAATAAATAAATAAATATGACGAGACAATTTTTTTCTATGTAGCAAATGTGATATACTCTCACGTCATTTTTGTAGAACTTTTCTGCCAAATATTTTACATAATTCTCCGAAATAGATTTGATGGATTATGTCTTCCAGATGATGATTGAAAAGGTTTTTATGGAAATTCAAAGACGCAAGAAAAAAGATTTTGAATCTGTAATTTGCTTCTAAGTTATCTTTGAACAAGCTATTTGCATTGATTACATAACTTTGAAACTTCGTTTTTCGCCATTTCTAACGTTTCGTGTGAAAGCCCCAAGGCTTTCACACGAAACGCGTGAAAGCCTTGGTGAAAGCACCATTGGCGCACTGAAATAACGCTGAAACAATTCAGTCTTCAAGGTCAATAATACACTTGTTATCAACAGTCCGAACGATGATCCCTGCGGAATACCAATTTTGGTTTACATATGTATTCTGATTTTCCATTTTTTTCACTTGATATGTTCTATAAAAATTGATATTAAAAGAGTAAGGAGGGTCCCATGAAAAAAATTTCATATCACTTTTCAAGCAGTTTTTGTCGTCAACTGTATAAAAGGCATTTGAGAAATCTAGGAGCTGAAATATGCTAAGTTTATTTTGATAAAGAACACTATTCCTAACATTACAACAATCTATAAGCAACGCGGTTGTACGTTTTTCTCTTCTGAAGCCGTACTGGGATGCATTAGTAAGCCAGGTTTATTACAAAATGAGGTTATAACGTTGCCCATATCTGCAGGGACTATACAACATAAAAGTGCCCCTTGCATATTCTTTTGCCAATCAAACTTTCTTAAAAAGTATCCCAACAAATCTGGTCAACAACGGCTGACTATTTCATCCAATATTTCTTAAGAATACCACAAAAATCGACTTCATTCATTGGGGCTACGTGTGGTTATTCTGCTCTTAGTGTTATTTATATCTAATAGTATTTTTGATGCCAACCGACATTCTGCCATAATTTAACTTTCGGTTTGGCCTCGGGGGTCTGCGACCTTCAATCCAGCCGTGTGTTCAGCTCTTCATCCGGCTGGAGTGCGCCGAAGCCGGATGTGCGCACCTGCACCGAGGTCACAGCCGAACACGATTGCAATAAGGCCTTACTGAATAAAGAGTTCAGTTGCAGAAAAAATAAATATCGCAAGGGGATATTGTTCAAACGAAGTATATGTCATACACGAGTCAAGGTTGGAGAAAAAAAAAAAGATAAATCTTTCCACCATCAACAACACAGTTCATCAGGCAGATAGTTTATGACTGTAGTAGAATTTTTTATTTTTATGGTTAAAAAAAAGCGATTGCACTTTTTTGCTTCATTTGTTTTTGTGTGGCATGATTGTAAAATGTATTACGTGAACCGCATCAGTAAACCAGCAATACGCATCAAATTAGCTTCAAGCTAGCCGATGAAGCCTATTAACGATGCACGAGTTTGAACTTTTGAAAATCTGCATCCCGGTCCACGTACTTACTACTCAGTCTATAACGAATCCTAAGTAGGGTATTTCTAATCTGGCTAGGCGGTTGTTCTTTATATCACCATGCTCGAAAAAAAAAAACGAACGGGTGGAGGCTGAAGTGGACAAGATACGGCTCGATTGTAATTAAAAACAATTATACTAGTAGAAAGACTAAGAGCTAAAGAAGTACCTAGAAAACACAGTAAACATAAGGTCGTCAAACTTGATATGCAGATGATACGAATGTTAAAATATGTTAGAATATATTAAAATTTCTAGAATACATACCAGAAAAAAATAAAGTCCGAAGAAATAGGTTTGCACCCAAAAATATTTATAGACAAATTACGTTTTATAAACTAATTGTTGTTTACTGCAGTTAGAAACACAATGTACAAAGTTTACTTGTGCAAAATTCACCTAAGCCCTGCGAAATACCCGAATGCGCAACCAATCGCGATCGCTCAAATCTCAAAGTTTATTATTGTTTCTTGTGAAACAAACAAAGATTGAGAACTAAAAATCTCGGGCCAATACGGTTTCCAGCGTCATTACAGTGAATAATTAGCCCAGTAGTTTTATTTAAAAGTTTCGAAACACCCCCTTTTGGAATAATTTGAGGTGCGATTGCCCATATTTGGAGGCAAATCAAAATGCCCAAATCAACACAAGCTTATAATTTTAAATGCATCCAACCAACTTTTCTCTTCATCGTTCACGTACCTCCCCGTCTGGCCAAAGTTCTAACTTTCACAGGACACCCGCTGTGACAGCGGAGGAGCTGTTTTGTTTATTTTACTTTGGAGACAACTGCCAAGGGGGTTGTACAAAAGGCGAATAAAATCACCTGACTAGGTCCCAACCCCTGTAACAGCACTCAACAGCAGGGCGTACAATAGGAAAATTAAAACAAATATAAAACTACCTCGCACGACAAACTAAGAATTTTTTTCTCCACAAAGGAAAACATTCTACGACACAACTGATTAGGCATATGCACAGAAAACATACGAGTCGTCCCTCAAATATTTTTTTAAATAAAATTGGAAGGAATTTTTTGGACCGCTCATGTACTCGAGGGTGTTTGTTTAAAATTTCTGCCATCTAATAGGATAATTTGGGTACCGCAAGCAGTTCCAATTTTAGGCTTTTGAAACTGCTTACGTCTTAAATTGTAATTACTTTGCTTAGCTAAATATCCGTATTCACCAGTCGTGACCAACTAGCGCTGTTTTAAAGTTAGTATCGCGACTAAGTAGTCGCGAACTAAGAGGAAAGATCAGCGACTAAGGATCGACTAGTTTTGCCGTATCCACGAGCGCGAGGCGAGCGGGTGACTATCTAGTCAGAGCTAAGAAGCGGCAGTGACATAGAAATAGAGTTCACGCACACGCGTACTTAAACGCCGCTGGGAAAATGGGTATTTTATCGTATAAAAACTAATATTTAAATGTTTATCAGGAAGAAAAAGTTACAACGAGAGAGTATTTGTCGGAGACAGAGTTTTACAAAGAAAAAATAAAAGAAACGCAAGGAAGAAACACGGCAGCCGCATTCCCAGCGACATAAACAAATATGGAAGCGACCGTAAATGCGTTCTTTCTCGTCGTACAGCGTCTTGCTGAGATCTTTTTAGCGGCGTCTCTGACAGTTGAAGATGGCCATTACACAATATTTGCTCCTCCAATTTTTTCAACATTTATCCCCCAGCGTTTCGAGACAGTAAGTGCTTAGTTAGCGCTGGCGGTCCGCGGTGATACGAGTTGGCCATGGCGCTGAGCCACTAGTCACCCGCTAAACACCGGCTAAACTAGCCTTATCCCATGACTAAGATCTGTTAGTCGACTTTTTAGTCGCGCGGGGCGACTAGGCCCTAAACACGACCGGTGAATACCAAGCGCTCACTGAGCGGCGACTATCGCTCTCCACGTGATCGTTTTAGTCGACGACGTCGCTAGTCGGCGGTTAAACAGGCCCTACTCGCGTCTGGTGAATACGGGTGGATAGGATTAGCGTTAATTTCAGTATGAATCAAGATAAGTAATCTATTGTTAGCTTTTTTTATGTTTATTAAACCTAGGAGTGATAAAATGTAACCCTGGTCGATTTTCAAGAAACCAAACAGCGCGCGTTTGCAATGTAAGTAAGCGTTTAACATTATATTTTGTGGTCGTTCCCCATACCAATAGACAATAATGCAGCCTGGAGTGAATCATAGGTGTATATAGTTGTATTAATCAATTTGAGAGAAGACATTTTAAGTTAAAAATTAAACCAATTGGTCTAGAAATTTATCTTAGGAGTTCATTCACTTAAGCAGTCCAATATAAATTTCCGAAAAAACTGATATCAAGAAATTTAAGGTGTTCAATATTGGAGTTTTGAACATATACATTAATTGCACTAGCAATAGCTTTATTTTGCGCTCTAAAAATTACATATATCATAAAAGCAAAACTCTAACAAAAAAATAATACGGAGCCTGACGTTTCAAGGCCATCTCGGCCCCTTGTTCACGGGTGACAGCTTTCGTTCTTGTCTTCGTCTTGCAAACTGCACAGTCACGCGTTAACAAGTGCCGAACTGGCCTTGAAACGTCGGGCTCCGTATTATTTTTTTTGTTAGAGTTTTTCTTTTATTGATTGTCATTCCTAATTAGGTGCATGTCCACCGAAAGGTTTACGT